CAGTCTGCTTAGTCTGTTTAGTCTATAGTCACCCAGCCTTGGTAGAGGTAAGAATTTTCTAGTGGTTTGGCTGCCTTGTTTTTCTGGTTCTCCAGTTGAATCCTAATATCTGTCTCTGGGTTTTTATTATTCATGTTATAGTCCAACATACCCAAGTTTATGGGATACAATGAAAGCAGTGCTAAGAGGAAAGATCAGAGCACTAAATTCCTACATAAAGAAGCTGGAAAAAAATCCAACACTAATATGTATATATTCCATACTTTCTTCATCCATTCTTCCGTTGAAGGGCATCTAGGTTGTTTCCAGGTTCTGGCTATTACAAACAATGCTGCCATGAACATAGTTGAGCATATATTTTTGTTGTATGATAGGGCCTCTCTTGGGTATATTCCCAAGAGTGGTATTGCTGGATCCAGGGGTAGGTTGATCCCGAATTTCCTGAGAAACCGAAACACTGCTTTCCAGAGTGGTTGCACCAGTTTGCATTCCCACCAGCAATGGGTGAGTGTACCCCTTTCTCCACAACCTCTCCAGCAAAGGCTATCATTGGTGTTTTTTATTTTAGCCATTCTGACAGGTGTAAGGTGGTATCTTAAAGTTGTCTTGATTTGCATTTCCCTGATCGCTAAGGAAGTTGAGCATGACCTTAAGTGTCTTTTGGCCATTTGAAGCTCACCTTACGAGACCTGGATAGAGGTGGGCAGTCCTTGGGCTTCCCACAGGTCAGGGAACCCTGATTGCTCTTCGAGCAGATGGGGGGGGGGACTTGATCGGGGGAGGGGGAGGGAAATGGGAAGCGGTTGTGGGGACGAGGCAGAAATCCTTAATAAATAAATAAATTAAAAAAGAAAAAAAAAGACAGTAACTAAAATGAAACTCTAGAGTTTTTGTTTCTTGCTCATGAATATGCTTCTGAGAAGTCTGGTGCTGCTATGGCCGATATCTAAACTCATTAATAAATGTGATTTTAGAAAGGAGAAAAAAAAATCCAACACTAGCAAATTAACAAAACACCTAAAAGCCCTAGAACAAAAAGAAACAAACTCACCCAGAAGGACTAGATGACAGGAAATAATTAACGGAGAGTTAAAATCAACAAAATAGAAACAAAGAAAACAATACAAAGAATCAATGAGACAAAAGGTTTGTTCTTTGAGAAAATAAACAAAAAAGATAAGTCTTTATCCACATTAACCAAAATACAGATAGAATATGCAAATTAGCAAAGTCAGAAATGAAAAGTGGGACTAACAGACATATAGGAAATTCAGAGAATCATCAGGTCATACTTCAAAAACATGTATTCAGCAAAATTGGAAAAGTTAAAGGAAATGGACAAGTTTCTGGATAAGTATTACATACCAAAATTAAATCAACACCAGTTAAGCAAATTAAATAGATATATAACTACTAAGAAAATAGAAACATTCATCACTGTTTCCCAACCAAAAAAAACCCAGGACCAGATTGTTTCAATACAGTATTCTACCAGATTTTCAAAGAAAAACTAATACCAATGCTCCTCAAATTGTTATAAACAATAGAAACAGAAGGAACATTGCCAAACATTTTATGAGGCTTCAGTTACTCTGATACACAAACCACACAAAGACACACTTAAGAAAGAGAATAACGGATCAACCCCCCCCCCAGGAATATTGATGTAAAAATACTCAATAAAATATTGGCAAACTGAATCCAAGAACACATACTGTAGTGATATTTCATTTGTACTTTAATAAAGTTTGCCTGAGGTTCAGAAAGTAAAACAGCCACACTGATTAGCCTTAGAGACCAGGCAGTGGTGACACATACCTTTAATCCCAATAGTCACACTATCTGATTATAGAAACCAGGTGGTAGTGGTGCAGCTTTTCACCCAATACTAGAGAGGAATATAAGACAGGAGGAGACAGCTCTCACATACAATTTCATTCTGAGATTCCTAGAGTTCAGGATCACCTTTTTGGACAGATATAGATGTAAGAGCCAGTGGCTTGTTGTTTTGCTTTTCTGACCTTCAGATTGGACCTCAATATCTGTCTCTTAGTTTTTATTAATTGTGCTACAAAGTAGGCTTCATTTCATAGATTCTGGGATAGACCAGCATATGAAAATCTGCCAATGCAATCTACCATAAAAACAAACTGAAAGAAAAAAAAATATGATCTTCTCATTAGATGCTGAAAAAATCTTCATCAAAATTCAACACCCCTTCATGATATATGTCTTGGAAAGAACAGGGATACAAGAAACATACCTAAATACAATAAAGAAAATATACAACAAACCAACAGCCAACATTAAACTAAATGGAAAGAAACTCAAAGCGATTCCACTGAAATCAGGAACAGGACAAGGCTGTCCACTCTCTCCATTTCTATTCAATATTGTACTTGAAATTCTAGCTAGAGCAATAATACAAAAAAAGGAGATCAAGTGGTTACAAATTGAAAACTTTCACTATTTGCTGATGATATGATAATATACATAAATGACCCCAAAAGTTCCACCTTGGAATTCCTACAACTGATAAACACCTTCAGTAAAATAACAGGATACAAGATTAACTCAAAAACACCAGTGCCCCCTACCTATATACAGATGATAAATGTACTGGAAACAAATCACAGAAATATCATCCTTTACAATAGCCACAAATACTATAAAGTATCTTGGTATAACTAATCAAACATGTGAAAGAACTGTATGACAAGAACTTTAAATCTTTGCATCAGAAAATACAAAGATCTCTCATGCTCTTGGATAGATAGGGTTAGCATAGTAAAAATTGCAGTCTTACCAAAGCAATCTATAGATTCAATGCAATATCCATCAAAATCCCAGCAAAATTCTCCATGGACCTCAAAGAACAATACTTAACTTTATATGGAAAAATTTAAAAAAAAAAACAGGATAGCTTAAACAATCCTGTACAAGAAAGGAACTTCTGGAAGCATCATCATCCCTGACTTCAAACTTTATTGTAAAGCTACAGTAATGAAAACAGCTTGGTATTTGGCATAAAAACGGACAGGAGGACCAATGGATTCAAACCAATGATCTGGATATCAACCCACATACCTACAAAAACCAGATTTTTGATAAAGAAGATAAAATTATAAAATGAAAATATATTCACTGAGTGGTGCTGATATAACTGGATATTGACAAGTAGAAGAATGCAAATACATCCATATATATCATCATGCAGTAAACTCAAGTCCAAATGGATCAAAAAGTTCAACATAAAACCAACTACACTGAACCTCATAGAAGAGAAAGTTGGAAGTCTCCTTGAACACACAAGTACATGAGACTACTTCCTAAATATAGCTCCAGTAGCACAGACACTGAGAGCAACAATTAATAAATGAAACCTCCTGAAACTGATAAGTTTCTGTAAAGCAAAGGACGCAGTCACTAAGACAAAACGGTAGCCTACAGAATGGGAAAATATCTTCAGCAACCCCACATCTGACAGAGGGCTGATCTCTAAAATATATAAAGAACTAAAAAAAACTGACATCAAAAGAACAAATAATCCCATTAAAAAATGGATTACAGAGAACTCAAGAACAATGGCAATGGGTTTCTGATCCTACTGCACGTACTGGCTTTGTGGGAGCCTAGGCAGTTTGGATGCTCAACTTACTAGACCTGGATGGAGGTGGGGGGTTCCCTGGACTTCCCACAGGACAGGGAACCCTGATTGCTTTTCGGGCTGGGGGGGGGGACTTAATTAGGGGAGGGGGAGGGAAATGGGAGGCGGTGGCTGGGAAGAGACAGAAATCTTAAATAAATAAATAAATAAATAAATAAATAAATAAATAAATAAAAAGAATTCCAGTCCTGGAACCTGCTAGGGCTGGGGAATTGCTGGTTATAAGGGTATATATTACTGGAAACATTTTTAACAAGGGAATATGGAATAAGAAGAAAATAAGAATAAAGAAACATGGATAAACAGAAAAAAAAAATGGATTACACACCAAAACAGATAACTTGCAACAGAGAAATCTCAAGTGTTCAAAAGACACTTAAGAAAATGCTCAACATCCTTAGCCACCAGAGCAATGCAAATCAAAACAACTCTGAGACAGCATCTTACACCAGTCAAAATGACCAGGAAACACAAATGACAGCTTGTGCTCGAAAGATGTGGAGTGAGGGGAACACTCCTCCATTGCTGGTGGTAGTGCAAACTTGTACAGCTGCTTTTGGAATCAGTATGGTGATTTCTCAGAAAATAGGAACCAATCTACCTCAAGACCTAGTAATAACACTCTTGGGCACATACCCAAAGGATGCTCAATCATAGCAAAGGACATTTGCTCAGTTATGATCATGTTAGCATTATTCATATTAACCAGAACCTGGAAACAACCTAGATGCCTTTCAATGGGAGAATGGATAAGGAAAATGTGTTACAGTTTTACAATGGAGTACTACTTAGTGGTTAAAAACAATGAAAATTTTGAAATTTGTGTGAAAATGGAAGGGACTAGAAAAGAAAATATACTGAATGAGGTAACCCAGACCCAGAGAGACCATTATAATTTGTATTCGCTCATAAATTGCTTTTAAACATAACAAAAAGAATAACCTGCCTACAGTCCACAAACTAAGAGACTCTAGACAACAAAGAGGACCCTAAGAGAGACATACAAGGATCTGCCTAGGAAGGAGAAAAGACAAGATCTTCTGGGTAAATTGGAAATATTGGAGCTGGAGCCAGGTAGAAGGGGAGAGCCGAGGAAGGAAGGAGGTGGGAAAAATGTATAGCTCAAATAGAAACAATATATAAAATTAAATTTAAAATACTGCATTAAAAGATAAGTTGCCATAAAATATATCTCAATGTTTTAATATCATTAGAGAATAAGTTAAGCTTTGTCTTCTTCCTTCACTACTCAGCAAACATCACTGCCAATCTTCCTCTGCAGGCTTAATCATCCAACAGCACACAGAGTACAGATGAAGATAAGATAGGCAAAATGAGGAAAAGAAAAGTCACCCTTAGTCTGGTGAACTGAGCTCAAAGTTAACTGCGAGGGACAGATTCATTGAGTCTATCCAGAGCTTATGGTGATTTGTGTTGACTAGAAACCACTCCAGATGAATGCTTTGTGGAGGACTTTGGCTTTGAGATTACTGATCTCCATCTCTATTTTGGCAACAAATGGGACTGGTAAGTGTGACATTCTGAGATTTTTGGGAAATGAAACTATCTTTAAGCCTAACATTGGACTATAATAATCCTCCTGCTTCAGTCTCCTCACTCTGAAATTACACATTTGTTTCAGGCAAACATGGCCACTTTAACTTTAAATTTTTTTTAACTTCAATTTTTTATTTATTTTACATACCAACGATTTTTCCCTCCATCCTCTCCTTATGTTTCCTTCCCCATTTCTTTTTTTAACCCCCCCCCCCTTTCCATCCACTCTTCAGAAAGGGCAGGCCTCCCATGGGGAGTCACAAATCCTGGAATATCAAGTTGGGGCAAGACTAAGCTCCTCCTCCCTACATCAAGGCATCCAGCCATAGGGAATGGGTCCCAAAAAGCCATAAAGCTGATTATTTTTAATAAGTAGGTTTTCTACATATATTCAATGGAATAGATTATTCTATTATTCGTTGTCATGTATATGAGGAGAAATGATTCCCTGAAAAACAATATTTTACTAAGATGTCTTCCTTGTCCCATCTTTAAGATTGACACATAACAAAAAAACAAAAACAAACAAAAACCCAAATAAGCAAACAAACAAACAAAAAAGGAGAAACATCTCTGAGAAGGGAAGCAGTGGCATTCAGAGTAAAGTGGAGGCGCCAAACTCAGGTAGGAAGGGACAGTCCTCCGATATAATAAGGGAAAAAGCGACAAGGTAGCCTGGATGCAGATCAACTTAAGGACTGGTGTCATAGACTATGGAGTCTGTCTTAAAGCATTTGAAGTAAAGCTGTTGGAAGTTACCAGTGGGAAGAGGGGCAAGATAAGGAGCAGAGCCCATGAAATAACCATTTCAAAGATAGGAAGGACAGGCTGCTAGCTAAAGTGGTGGAACTCTAGTCTGAGTTCTGCTTCACCAGAACCACAGATCCTAAGCAGACTGATCAGCATGAAAGCAAATTGACTTTTCTCCCAAGATAAAAATATCAGTGCATTTCCTTCTAATTCAAGATGTATGTGCCTTCTACACGCTGACATACAGATAGAGCAGACCATTTGTTGAAGATGCTTTCTTTCTTCCCAGTGTGCATTTCTGGCTTCTTTAGCAAAAATCAGGTGTCCCTAGGAGTGTGGATTTATTTCTGGGTCTTTGGTTGGATTCCATTGATAAACATGTTTTTTTATTATTATGATAACTTGAAATCAGGGATGGTGATACTTTGGAAAGTTGTTTTATTGTACAGAATTGTTTTTAACTATCCTGGGTTTTTTGTTTGTCCATATTAAGTTGAATATTGACTTTTCAAAGTCTGTAAAAATTGTGTTGGGACTTTGATGGGGATAACATTGAATCAGTAGATTCCTTTTAGTAGGATGACAATTTTTACTATGTTAATCCTACTGATCCATGAGCATGGGAAATCTTTCTTCAACTTCTTCAAAAACATCACGTTTTTGTCATACAAGGCTTTCACTTGCTTGGATAGAGTTACCCCAAGACATTCTGTATTATTTGAGGTTATTGTGAATTATATTTCCCCTGATTTCTTTCTCAGTCCATTTATTGTTTATATGTATGTGGGATACTGATTTTTTTAGTTAATCTTGTTTCCAGATACTTTGCAGAAAGCATTTTATCAGTTACAGGAGTCTTGGTGGAATTTTTAGACTCGTTATGTATAAAATCATATCGTCTGAAAATAAAGATACCTTGACTTCTTTTTTCCCTATTTCTATCCCCTTGATCTCCTTCAGTTGTCTTATTGCTCTAGCTACGAATTCAAGTACTATATTGAGTATGTGTGCAGAGAGTGGAGAAACTTTCCTTGTTCTTGGTTTTATTGGAATTGTTTTGAGTTTCTATCCATTTAATTTGATATTTGCTATAGACTTGCTGTAATTTGACTTTATTATGTTTAAATATTTCCCTCATATCCCTTATCTCTCCAAGACTTTTTTAATGAAAGGGTGTTGGATTTTATCAAAAGCTTTTCAGAATTTAATGAAATGATCATGTAGGTTTTTTTCTCCCAATTTGTTTATATGATTGGCTGATTTTCGTGAGTTGAACCATGCCTATAGTGCTGTGCTAGGAAGAAGCCTGAGGGATTGGTTCTCAAGGAACAGACAGTGCCAGTTTTCTTTATATCCTTCTATGTTTTTAATTGAAGATCTTATGTACTTTTGTTGTCACTTGTTACTTGGCACAGAAATTCTTTTTCTTTTATACTTGCAATGTACTTTTACAATTAGTTCAATTCTACTCTTAAAGAGCATGATGGTGCCTTATAGTAGCATAAGAATGTTAGGTTAACAAATTCTACTCCTTTCTTCCTGTCTCTTTAGTTATTTCTTGGAAAACATCTGTCTTAGGCAGCGAAGAGACACCATGACCATGGCAATTTTTATAAAGGAAAGCATTTAACTGGGACTTAATTACAGTTTCAGAGCCTTAGTCCATTCCCTTCATGCAGGTAGACATGGCAGCCGAGTGTTCTATACTTGGGTCTGAATCTGCAGGCCTAAGTTGAGATTTTGAAACTCCAAAGTTTACCCACAGCAACACACTTCTTCCAACAAGACTACATCTGTAATTCCTTTCAAACAGTGCCTCCCACTAATGACTCCTCATTTAAATATGAGCCTCAGGGGAAATTCATATTCAAGCTACCTCAGCACTAGACTATCACAGAACAAGATTTTGGGGAAATGGAGTTTGAAGTTGATTAAGACTAGTTTTGGTTTCTTTTCCTAAAATGGTATATCACAATGTAACCCACGCTGACCTCAGATTAACTATGTGGCCAGCTACTCTGAAATTTATGATTTTATTGCTTCCCCCTTTATCCAACCATGCCTGGCTTTGGGCTATTTTATATTGAGAAATTCTGCAGACCCCAAGGAAAGGATGAATATAGTTTTAGGAACCACATAATGAGAAAATGGACAGAGGAGATGACACCTATTTTGTTCCTACCTCTGTTTTGTATCATTTCTGCTATTCAGGCACAAGGTTGAAAGCAGGAAGATGAACTCTTTGTGGTTCTGTTCCTACAGGTCTTGAGAATGACTGTTTCTTCATCTGTACGGTGTTTAGTATTAGACCAAATTGCTTTAATTAGGTGGTATCCATAACATTTCTTCTTCCATAGAAATAAAAGCAAAAGTCCTTCCCAACATAATATATCCTGGTTTTCAGTCTGAGGTCAACGTATCTTTAAAATGTACAGGCTGATTTAATTCAGCAGTTATTTTGTTATTAACTAATGTCTGTCTACCACTCTTATTCCTTGTTCATTAGCGTTTAAATTTTTTAAAGCCAATAAAGTACTGTGTAATCTAGCTTTGTGTATTAAGCATATCTTGTAAAGTGGGATTAGATATTTCTATAACTGCTTTATATAACTGTGTAGTATATTGCAATATGCTTGATGTTGTAATATGAAAAAAAAACATTTTTTTTTTTTTTTTGTTTTTCGAGACAGGGTTTCTCTGTGGCTTTGGAGCCTGTCCTGGAACTAGCTCTGTAGACCAGGCTGACCTCGAACTCACAGAGATCCGCCTGCCTCTGCCTCCCGAGTGCTGGGATTAAAGGTGTGCGCCACCACCGCCCGGCTTGAAAAAAAAAACATTTTATTTTACTAGAGACATATGCTGGTGCTTTGTCAGTCTTAATTAGTACATGTATTCCCATAATGGTCATGATTTCTAATACGTGTGTAATTACAGAATCAGTCTTTTAAGAACTTAAAGTAGTTGCCAATTGAAATCCTGTAAGTGTATCTATGTTATGGTGCACATATTTTCATTTTTCAAACTCTGAAAAATGAAACAGATGCATTTTCCAAATATCATTTCTTTGAGTTCCCTTTAGGTCACTTCCTGCAGGTAATGGAGTTTGATTATACAAAGAACAAGTAGGACATTTCCTTATAATTTCTTTGACTTATTTCCAAGTGATAAAAAGATCTTTCTTAAAACCTTTGTTGATAACATGGTATTTCTTATGAAATTCTTAGACTTCTAACATATTTCCTGCCTATAGGAGGATCAATCTTATCATTATGTTGTGCTAGAGGGCCTGGTAGACCTATATGGGATCTGATACATGTTATATACAAAGAATGATTTCTATTTCTGATTATTTGTTGTAACTGAATAAATAACAAAGTTAATTCTGGAACTGAGACATGAACACATGAGCAATTAAAAGAACACATTAAACCAAGGAAAGTTTATGAAGACCTCACCTGAACCTTACAGTGATGCAAATCTAGCCCTGTGATGTCTGACCATATGTTATGTGCTAATCTGTTATCTGACACCTGGGGCGTGCATCAAGGACCAACAAAAGAACTCCTCGCTGTTCTTGGACATTTGGATCTGCTTGTTCCTTTACTGTTGACACAGCCTGCTTGCCTGCCTATCTATTTACCCATCTGATTCTGAATCTGAACCTGGATATATATCCATATATACTTAATTACTGTGTGCTGTATGATGTGAGAGTTGATACTGGTAATTAAGATTGAGACTAAAGAACTGGCATTTTCCTTGGCTGGGTTTCCAAGGCACGCAGGATTATATGATAAATTGCTGTCACTGAAAGCACTAAACCTTTTGAATTTATTGTTCTTTAATAAATTCTGAATCTATTAAAAATTAATTCTGAATCACCAGGAATAAGCTCAGCAATTTTAGTATGTAAAACAACTCTATCTACTTATTGAGAGTTAGTAATTATATTAAGAGGTTCTGGAAAATGTAATAATACCACGAGAATAGTATATAATTCTGATTTCTGAACTAATTAATAAGGGCTTTGAGCAACTTTACTTAATTTCCTTGATATAAAAACCCGTCTTTCCTGATTTATTTGTGTCAGTATAGAATGTAGAGGCTCCAAAGTAGTGTTACCTTTTTTTGTTTTTTTAAAGATATTTTATTTATTTTTACATATAAGTGCTCGATCTGCATATATGCCTGTAGTGTTACCTTTTTTATATGAGGGAGTA